GCCCAGCAAGTCACAGAAAAACTCCTGCTGTGTTTGCCAGGCAGTGGATGCAGGCGAGCAAGGAAGACAGCTTCATTAACTCCCTGTAAACCCAAGATTTAAAAAAAAAAAAAAAAAAAATTCTTGATTTAAGATGGGCTGCTGGGCACAGGCGGGCACACCCAGAGGCATGAATGTCCTGGCACCCATGAGCAGCAGAGCCCTTTGCGGCCATGGGCTGCCACGGACAGGCTGGAGTAATTTAAAGATGTCACAGATTTTCAAACCAGCTCAGAGGTGGCGGGGGAGAGGGGCCAGCCAGGATGTGCGCCCTCGAGCCCCTTGGGGAACCCCTGCCTGTATCCCTCACCCTACATAAGCTGCATGGCAGGTGTCAGGGCCATTTCAGACTGATGTGATTGTCATTAATAACACTTATTAGCTGCGTGGGGACAAGAGCACGTGCTTGGTGTGGCAGCCACCGTTGCAAAGCGCAGGGGTGAGGATCTGGCCGGGCAGGCAGAGCCTGCCGTGGGCTGCCGGCTCTTCCTGCCCGGCCAGAGAAAAACATCTGAGCAAAACAGCTGAATAAAGGAGCGGAAAACCACCCCAACCATTGATTAAACAATAACATTAAATGGCAGAATATGATCTCGTTTATTGCTGTAATATGTCGCGTTCTGCTGTGACTCAGGCGGCACTGCAATTTCTAAGGCCATCAACAGTAACTGAGCATTAGCCGGGATGAATAATTAACAATAATTTCATGGCAAATGCACTCGTAAGTAACATTAACATTGAACATGCAGCTCGATCTGCTACTGGTTTTGCTTTATTTAGAGGGTGCAATTATTATTTTTTCCATGAGCACCAGCAGCACCGGCACTCGCTGGCTCTGCTGCAGAGGAGGCGGCACGGGGCGGGGGAGATGCCTTCACCCCATGCTTTCAGACCAGGGCCGGTCGCTGCAGCTACTGCCACTTTGCAGCATGCCTGACCCAATGAACCAGCTCCCACCTGAGACCCTCGTTGGGCAAAGCTGAGCTCCTTCCTGCAGCACACCCTGGGGAAAGGGACCAGCCTGGATGCGCTGAAGGGGGAGGCAGAGGGACCGCTACAGCCGGGGGGATGCCAAGGGCAGGCAGGGCTGCAGTGCTGCTGGACAGGAGGGCAGGGACCGGACCAGCTGCCCCACGAGGGTTGGGATGGTGGAGAAGCCCTGGGGGGATCCCTGCCACCGGCCTGGGACCCTCTGGGCACACGGTGGCTCCTTGGGAAGACACTGGTGAGTCTGGAGACCCTTGGGGTAAGAGAGGCAGATGGTGAAATACAGGTGGATTTCTTCCATCTCCTTTAAGTGAAGCCATTCTGATCTCTGCCTTCCTTCTGTCCGCTCTCATTGCTGTCCTTGCCGGATTATCCGCCTGAAAATTTTCTTTATTGAAGCCTTTAACGTCAGAGGACACAACTTGTTCTTTGTGTGCACGCCATTGCCTCTGATTTAAAGAGCTAGGGCTGGGCTGTTTGTTTTCAAGCAAGGTTGGCCGTTGTTGATCAAGGCTGTTCTTGATTAGCAAAATCCAGAGGTGTTCCCCAGCTGCAAGCACTAATCACTGCAGAGATGAGACCCAGAGCAACCACCCTGCCCGCCCCGCTTCCGCACATCAAAGCGGCAGCCAGAGCTGCTGCCCGTTGCGAGAGACCCGACGATCCAGTTGCCATTTGTTGTTGTGCTGCTTTATCTCGCTCCGAGCAAGCATTGCAGGCGCTCAGCAAAGCTCTGGGTGTCTTGCACCATCCAGGCTTGGGATCAGCGGCGGCTGGCCGGACAAACGGGAGCGTTTGTCGTCTTCTTTCTGATGTGTTTCTGTGCTCTGCACCAAGGGGAACTGAGGTTGCCCCAGCTGGTGCTGCAGAAGCAGGGGGCTTTAGACCGTGCCGCCTCCTGGGACGCAGAGCTCTGGGTTAAGAGGCAGGACCGGTGTTGGTGGTAAAGCAAATAAACTGGGGGATGTCACAATAAAAGCTGAATATTTCCCAGACTTTGCGTCATCATACAGGGGATTGCGTTTGCTTCTGTGGGTGCCCAGAAGGGCCCCTGAATGTTGGGGAGAGGGGATCTAAAACAAAACCATCATTAACTCCAGCCCAGCTGGGGAGGTGGAGGGGCTTGCATGGACGGTGGTGCAGATCAGGGGCAGCCTCTCC